AGCGATCGGATCAAAGTGAATCAGGTTTGGCTAGTCACTACATAGTATAAAACAAAGTCGCTTTCTCTGTCCCTATATCCCTATGTATGCTTAAATCTTTAAAACTACGCAACGGATTTTGATGCGGTTTTTTTTAATAGATAGAGTGATTGAAGAAGAAGGTTTATATGCATAATAACATCCAATAAATAGTAGAGAAATCAATAAAAAATTAGTTTCCGAAGCGAAGCGAGGGCGGGTCGCTAGTCGCCAATAAAACAAATAGGTATTTACTAAAATGTTCAATGTAAAAAAAATATATAAATATTTTTGTTAAGCCACTATCAAGTCACAATACAGTACATTTGGGACAAGTTGTTTACTGCTCACAAGGGAGACTTTTTAGATTCGTTTAATTTGGGTTGCCTCATGAGTCAGTTTCTTGACGTTTTTATGTGGCCGGTACGCTGGGTATTGTCGCGCAGGCCGTGCTCGACCCAAACGGTAATCAAGGGCACCCAGCCGAGTGCTTTATTTATGCTAATCAATACGATGGATTGTGCGTGAAGTTAAAATCAAATGTTTTTCGAAAGGTATACACCTAAACTAAAGCGATTTACCGAACACGGCCGTTTATTATCGTGAATGCTTGTTTTTGTAATGCGAAACTTGTTTTTTTTTTTTTTCTATTAACGAAATGAGTTCCTCGACACTTGTTTTTTCAATACGACGTCTTTAACAACAAGAATATATAAAAAGCCAAAACAAAATATCCTGCGAGGTATTTACGAAACATTTTCCTTTACATTATGTTAATTATTGTTGATGTGTGTATAGTTTGACTTCGCCTCGTATAAACAGTGTTAGTGATCGTAATGCTACCAGAAAGGAGCCGTGTAACTAACGAGACTGTTTTATGGGTTTCGAGATGGCTCCCGCAGATGGTCCCGGGGAGCAGACAATCTACAACTGGGAGGTGTCGCCGAGGGTCGGGGTGTAGGGCCAGACTATCTAATCGTGCGTCGCCTCGTCGCCGGTGGGCGGCGGTTATTCCGATAACGCGCACCAGCCGCCGCGCCCACATGCCAATTATGTGGGAAGAGGTTACGATTGCCCGCGCGATATTAGGCAATAACGCAAACGGGCCCACCCCGGAGGAGTCGCGTGCATTAAACGCTGGCCCCTGATGCCATTCCAATTACTGTTCGTCGATAAATTCCCTGATTTCGTTAATAGTTCGATGAAAATATTTAATTGGTCAGCGGCTTGTTATTAGTAAAGGAACCGACACGTTAATGTAAATAATGGCTCTACGTGGTACTGAATTATAACGTTATAAAATCGTAAGCGGGCCGTAGATAATGAAGTGCTCACACGACGTTATCGAGCGTTCGTCGATGCGCTCCCGTCTCATCCACCGCCGATCAACCAACGTAATTACAATAAATATAGTTTACATGAGAGAACAGGAACCCAACGACGAGTCTGAAGACGTTCACCTCCATTATTACAATTATGTAACAGATAGCAATTATAGCAACAAAGTACTATAAGAGTTAAAACAAAACTTCTACCAGCTTTGAACTTTACGGTTTGCTGGATGTAAATCTCGTCTTCAAAAATAGGTACTTTACGAATATTTAAACGCTCATACATATATGATACAACGCAATAAGTAATATATGGGTATTGGTAATTACCATTAAAACACAGAAAGTAGGAATATGTAAAATTTACTTAAAATGAAGACAATTGTTCGATCTGACATACGTGTTCTGTACCTATAAGGTTATATTTTATAGTTTCTAAAAATAATAATGAGTTTTTAAACTACAATTGTATTTCAGAAATTGCGTTATTTTCATAATTTCGTTAAAAAGTACTTTACAAAAAAAGTTTTAATTCCAAATAAATGACTCGCAAATTCTGTATGACACGCAACGCACACGGTTTAACGCCGACGGCTGCCTTATTAAACCAGTTTTCACACGCATTGATACCTCTCTTCGCATTCACGTGCTAATACAGTCATAATCAGAAACCATTTTTAAATTAACTTTATTAATTGTAAATATTTACTCAATAAATTTTCTTCAAGTGGTCAGCGACAAATAGGTGTGTGACGTCATCGACTCATTTAATGCACGATCACGTTATAGCCATTCTAGAATTTATCACAAAAAAAAAACTTTAACATCCGTAAATTTTATACGGCAGATTTAAAATCGTGCTTCATAGAAATAAAAGAGTTTTGTGTTTAGGTACCCGAGGAAAGTGTACAGAATAATGACAGCAGGGGCGGTTCGGCGTTATTACTGTAATGCCAGGTTGTTTCGTCTTCGTTCGCGAGCATTACATAGCATTTCTCCGCAGCGATGGAAACTAAAAAAAATAATACAAATAACCAGCTTGCCGCAAACTCTATTAGATTTCCAACTTACTTTTTGCAGAGGCTGTCGTCTCCTAACTCGATCTCGATGCGGACGTGAGAAAATTGTTAATCTTATTTTAGACTGGCAGTTCGCGAAGATTGATGATAGAGTAACTTTCAAATAAAGCACTTATTTAAAATATATCTATTGACTCGTGCCATTCATAAGATTTATAGCATAATCGAAACAGTAGACTCTGTAAATGGAACATAAATGATAGCATTGTTTTTGGAACGAAGTTCCATATGGGACAACGCGGAGGGGTGGGTACTCTAACCGGGGAAAAACGTCCGTTACGTAAGATTTTTATTAGTAATGCACACAGTGTACGACTTAACTTTGACAAAAAATAACATATTTGTTTCTCATTCATTGACCACGATCTCGGAGCATTCGTTTGCGCAATACACTAACTCTTATGCAAACAACCGTGAATGAAGTGTACCACAATAAGTTCGGACGTTACCGAATGACCGTGGGTTATTGCGAAACCTCCAGTTTGATTTTCTTTATACCTCGAATAGAACTTAAAATTACCTTAACTTAAAGGAACCTTGTTCCTATCCGGTGTCCCACGACACCACACGTCTTATTTATTTTAGAATGTAAACGTTGATAATATTTGGAACACTGAAGGCACAAAGTGCGTTCCACAGATTTTCTTCACTTTTCTATAATCATAACTTTACTTAGTATGTCTTATAATTGTGTACCTAATTAAATGATTAAATATGACAACGGTCTATGATTTCGATGTCGAAAGGAAGAGTGTAAACGCCGGAGCGCAGAATCGCGACAGCGAAAGCAAATTGCAACGTTACGAAAGGGAACTTCAAATCTTAATTTAACATTGAATTCACACACAGAATACCTCGTTCGATCGCCGATGAGATTACACATATGTACGTACGAGTAAGGGCACTTTCTTCTCGTATTCCACTTTTTTAATAGCAGTGGACATGGCCAGCTTGTTTGCGTGGCCAATAAGCATCCAGTTTGCATACTGCATGTTTCTATGAAACTCGTTTGTCTCCCGGCCGTTGTGGACACCGGATGTTGTGCGGAATGTTCTCTGTGTATTCTCACTTTATATGTTTGTCAATTTTCAATGACCATCAAGTCTCTTTGGCCAATCTATACTAATATTATAAAGCTAAAGAGTTCGTTTGAACGCGCTAATCTCAGGAACTACTGGTCCGATTTGAGAAATTCTTTCAGTGTTAGAAAGCCCATTTATAAGGAAGGCAATACAAGCGGAGCACCGATAAAGAATGTTTCAAAATCGGGGTTATTTTACCATTTGTAAGCTTCCGCTGCGTGCGCTGCAGAAACGGTTAAAGTTTCGCTAAAATAATGTATGATAGAATTGTTCCCCTTTAAAAGATCTAAAAAAAATAGCGACAGCATATGTCTGTATGTTAAGGTTAGCTCACTATAACGTTTTTTATGCTAACCAAATTTGTTCTAAAATAAAGCATTATTTGTGAACTATTCCACGCGGACTAAGTCGCGGACAAAAGCTAGTTATTAATATAGGTGATACATTTGCACATAAAACTTAATAATGTGTTTGTTAACGCATTTGTATACAACGTGTAAAGACTATTGCCTATTTTTCAAATTATCATGAAGTCGTAACGTGATTTTTTTATTGACACGTTACAATCTTAACACACGCTCTTGATCTAATTTAGTGTTTAAATCTTCATGCTTTATATTTATTAATTATCGAATCAGAAATTGTGTCACATAGACAAATTTTTCGAATGATCCGCTACAGTTCAAGGCTTTTATCATTTATGTAAGTCAGCAAATATGTTCACGAATGTCAAGTGCGGTTGTGTGATAAGTCTCACTTGTATATTACATTCCACTTACGATGCTAAGCCGCTTATTCGGCTCGCGACGACCGTTATACGGCGCACGCACGCCGCCTGCATCAATGGCATATTTTTCCCGAGCGAAACTCAGACGCGCATTTACCATTCAAGGTTAACCCGGTCAGTGTAGCGCTTTGTTTACACGAGTGTCGCCATGTCCGACATCACACGGAACTGCAAGGGCAGTAATCTCAGTCGCTCAACTTCTAATACTTTCCATAATATTTGTTTATCTGACGTTACACTTACTTATCTGACATTAGAGAAATCGACGTGATTATAGTGTAAATACTCTAGGGGATAATTACTATCATCTGCCAGGACTGGAAATTTAGCAGACTGATGTTGACTAGTAACACTAAGCAAAAAATGCAATTGAGACAATATTTTTCTGAGCTTATAACATATCTGTCCCATTAAAGTTGGTTCAAAATTTGATTTAATTTTATATTCTCAAAAAATGGTCCACTTTGTTTTACATTTCATACACACTACTAATTCGAATGTTTGTATATATATATATATATATATATATTTATTATATTTGACCGTTTTAACTTTGTATGAAAATTGTAGATGTTGAATATGAATTATTTTAATAACTATCAGAGTGATTTTTGAAAAGAGATTTTTGCAAAACCTAATTTAAAAAAAAAAAACGCTATAAATGCAGTATTTATGAAATTAATTTAAAATTTTATTGTTACAGGTGCATTCCGTACATTCAGCGAGGTCTACATAACGCAAAACGTCAGGTATGTTTATTTTGATTTTTAATATTAACAGTTTAGTATACACTGCAGGCACAAGTCGCAAATTGTAAGGTATTTTATAAGACATATTGCCGCCAATATGATATTCTAGAATTAGTCAGGATATGTCGAACGGGATATGTGCTCATTAGGATTGAAAGTATACCGCATCCGCGAGTTTATGTCATGTGCGGAGCTGATAAACCTGTCTTTAAGAGAACTACCAGTTGCTTACAAACTGGTAGAACAAACTAGATTTTTAATAAGGATCTGCTTTGCTAATGGGCTCTCTCCACCGCATTTGAGGAATTCCGTTCCGAGTTAAGAATGTGCCTGTCTATTTATGATGTGTATAGTATGCGCGGTGGTTTAATGTGGCATTGGTCTCATTTATCTCTTCGTTGTTAAGTCGGTAACCGAAGAAAAAAAACATGAAAATGAATTTAATATGCATTACGTTACGAATACGGGAGGCGTTTCACTGAAACAGCTCGATATCTTGTTTAAGGGAGTAGAGTGAAAATGTATACTACTGCAACGAGAATTTAGTGATGATAGTATGTGCGATAGACGAGGGCTCGCGTGCCCGTCCAATACGAGCACCCGTCATGCCATCCGTACATTTTAACGAGAGCGCGATCCCCCGCGCCGATAGCGATTGTCTAATGAAAGCCCCGTTGAATAATGCATTAATAGTAGCGTTAAATCGTGAGCACACACTATCGAGTCTCCGACGTGAGTATAGCAGATGCAAATTTAAGTCAACTCCGACACCGATAAGCTTCCGCATTAATTCAAGAAAGTCTACAGAGCTAATGGGAGAATGTTGTCGAATTAATCTTGTTCGAACGAAAGGACCGCTTATTTATTGGAAATAGTATAGACATTTCACGCTATCACATTGAAGGTGAAATACGTTTTCTTTTGTTGTTGAACTGATGCTGTATTGGAAACATGGCTACGTTCAAAATAGTTGAACGGAAACGTATGATAACGGAAACGAAACTCGTGTGAAATTAGAAATGGGAACAGCAAGAGCATTAGCTCTAAGACGCAGGGCGGTTGCGGGCGTGGCGGTGTAAGAGTCAGCTTGTATCGTGCTTGGTCTCACGCCGCGACCCGTGCTCACCTTCCCTATTCAAATGTCAGCGTACAAGCCCGTGATGAAACAATCGTAAAGCACAACGTAAAGTTCACAATATGACTTCAATAAACAACTCTTGACGTGAAACGTGACGTCGTGGTTGTAGGTGAGACATCTTGAGGTATTACTATTACGAGTAGGTACTACTATACAAAGCTAATCTTCAAATTGTTCCAGTTTGCCCGATCGCCCTTAATGAGGGATATATTTATCTGTATATTTGCGTATATATTCCGTATTTAAATATTTCATAGACACGATTTGTATCTAAGTAGTTTGATTAAAAAAAAAAGATTCCTTGAACATTTTTTTGATACGACATCTTCAAATTTGAAGAGATGTATAATATAAAAAGAGAAATATTTTAGGTATCAAATGAAAACTTAATAAACAACAGATAATCAGTTAACATAAAAATATATTTATAGTAAATGACTAATAGGCAATTTTTATTTTACTGCTCAGCTTTTACATTAAACATTACCCGATGATTTCAAACTACAGTTATAAAATGTAAGTCGATCTGTTTAGCATTAATAGAAGTATGCTATATGAATTGCAAACATGCAAGGGCATCATCGGGTCAACACGGAACCGGGTAACATACCGTCCACTGTTGCCCTGCCGTTCCCGCGCTCCACATAAACAAGAATATCTGAGAACTAGAGTGTAATAAGGTCACTAGAAATGTCAACGCGTTCTAATTTGTTTGTTAGTATCATGTATTAAAGTTGCTATTAAATAAATTTAACATTGTGCAGCGTTTAATTTTCGAAAGAAATAATGGTAATTTGTGAAATAAAATTGATTCCTCTCTTTAAATGTTACACTGGAGCACGATAAGTTGTTTTGTATGTTAACAGGACACAAGACGAGCCACAAGATAGTGGATTTTACTTTCTTAGGGTGACCTGAAGAAACCAGACGAGAGAAAGTAGGAACACTGCCTATACTGCACTTTTACAGTTAAACAACTTATACCGATCAAGTTTATTTGTTGGTAATTGATAGTATAAAAACAGATAAGTGCATAGAATTCCCTTAATACTTAATAATCATAATTAATTTCTTTGTGACATACAAACACAAATAAGGAATTCCCGTCGGACTGAAGCAAATTCGCGCCTACAGACGTCCAATTAGGTCGACGGTATCGTGCGTATCCACCGGCCCACGTGGAAAATAGGCACTTCCTCATAAATATTTATAGCGTGTACAAAGCCGTCTTTGTATACTTCCACATTCGCTCAGAATTATAATGGCTGTCACAGTAGGATCTCGAACAAGAGCCGAAACGACTCGCGTTAAGGAGAATAAAAGCTTCTCGCGACGTTTTCACTTAGCAACCGACACGGTAAATGTTTAGGATAGAGATGACACAGATAGAAGTTTTACGGTAGGATATATTTTGTCGTTAGTAATAGAAACATTTTTTTTTAGAAAATTTTGTTCCGTATTTAATCGATGTCCAACTTTAGAATAGAATATAAAACCAGACCGATGTCATATAAACATTGATGATTGATTCCTACAGGAAGTTGATTGGTTACCGATAAGGCGGTTCTTTGTGGACAACGATTGTCGCCATTTCCCGTTGTGGTGGTGGTTACGATTTAGTTGACTGACAGACTGTTCGTGTCCTATGGTAGCGATGCTTCGAGATATACGATTATTATGTTAGTCATTTCACTTCGTCACACAAAAGTTGTTTACCGTTTATCGGACTTTTAGCGCAATAATAACTTTATACAGTACAATAAAAAAATATAAAAAAAAACATTGCCTTATATTGTATTGGATTAAAAATGTTTTATTTTATTGGATAACATCACACTTTTTAGGTTAGTGTTAATTTAATTGATTGTTACTTTCACACGTACATATTAGCGAGAGCGATAAAGTTTTTATTGGCTAATATTTTCGTATATATTGTAATAAAAAAACGCTATTGTTATACGAAAACTGAATTATTCTTACGAAGCAAAACCGTTCCATGAAATTAGGAAATGCGAGTGGCTCGAGACACAATCACGTTTTCCATCACTGTGAAATTTACCAATGGTAATGCAGTCCAGTGGAACGGTGGCTGCAAAAGGTGCGTGGCGTCACGTAGATTAGTATCAAATAAAGTCGTGCTTGTTGTTCGTACCACCACAGGTCGACGGCCGAATTACGAAATTTAATCGAATTACGCTAAATCATCTTCAAATAGAGACTTCTGGAACGACGCCGGTTTGTTTTATTCACATTAAACACATTGATTTTACGTATTCAATCGAATAAGACGAAACATGCGAAATACGTACTCGAGAGTGTCTTTGAGCGAAGAATGTTTGAGATTGAGTTATGCGGAGGTGGGAAACGGAACATGGTTTATTTCTCTATTGTTTGCAACTTGATTGTGCATGGACAATTCCGGATAGCCGTGTACCAAAGCAGGGCTGTTTAGCTGCCAATATTGTCGTCAAGTTATCGAGTTTCCAGTATTTGGACACGCACCGTGATATAAACTCACGCGATTCCATGTAACGCGTGGGTGAATTATTGATGTATTGTCAATGCAAATTTCCTTATATCCCAGTTTCGAGATAAAGAGAAAATGGCAAGTATGCTTACTACTGGTAGATGGTACCGTCCTGTATATCTTGGTGGCAAAGCAGTAATGTATTCCGACTTGAAGGGTAGAACTGCTCCTATGCGACACAATTGACTTTTCAACCACATATCTCAAGACTGTATTCACGTTGTGATATCTATGGGCCTCAGTAATCAATTAATAGCCGCTGGACCGCCGTGACTTCGTCTAGTCATCAACAGAATTAAAAAAACACGTGTGGCACTCAGGAACTGCTGCGGTAAAGCTATTGCATAGCATTATTTATCAACTTATGCAGTTATAATTAGACAATGATAATTTAATATTAAAACAATAATAAAACAAGACCACGCTATATTAAACATTAATAAAAGCAAAACCTTAACGTCCTCTTCACACTCATAAGCTAGACCGCGCGAGAGAGAGATGGGCAGACTTTTCATGATGCGCATGCAGTGTGACGTCACGCCACGCGCTTATTCACAAACACTACACAAGCGCAACGTGTGAATGTGTTGAACGCGAGCTACATGGTAGGCGGAGTGAGGGATGTAAGGTTTTTTTTCGTTACGGAATTTAATGATTCCGCTCTCAAGCCACGCTCAAGGCCCGCGATAAAATCTATGCAATAGCTTAAAACGCGAGACTGTTCGATTAGTCTGCCGTTTATTCAAGTTCCTGTTCACGAATGGAACTTCTTCATGAAAGGAGATACGCATGACACACGCACGTACTGTTTGGATAGGCGCGCATGCCTTAGTGAGATGAGTCAATATTTACAGGTCTTTGACCTGACTTCCTTTCGTCGATCGCTGGAAAGGATATTGGTAACAGTAATAAATATTGATTCTATACACTGAATTAGTTTCAAATATGTTTTTTAAATTGTAAATGATTATAATCGTACCTACACGATTATTAGTGCGGTAATCAAACTATTAATATTTGTAATCTAAATAATTTGAAACATAAAACGAAGCTTACGATTTAACGATATTAAAAATAAGTGCTAGCAAATCATGACCGGCAAAGTTTTAACTGCCTCATCGCTATATTATTCATACTTTAATCTTGATAATGAGGCTGTGTCAGAAACAACGTCTTCCTCGACACATATAGTGATAAAAACTTCTGCTGATCAATCAGTTCATATGTCTAAACAAATAAGAACAAACGCTGGTAAAAAAATGCATTGAACCCGTCGCAGAATTCGCTACTGGCTCTTGAGATGATAAAAACAATATGATGTCTGTTTCTGTCTCG